AGATACAGAGAGCTATCGTTCGCCATTATCGAACACTTCGTTTCAATTGAGTATTCTTGTGAGCAGTGCCTCACTAATGGTTTATAGTTCGACGCCGAACTATAAACCAGTCCGAAGGCTGTTGGCAACGTTCGTGATGGGAAACGTTATTTTCCAGGCTGAGCGGTGTAGTGCTGTTCCATAATAATTGGGAAAAAACGTTGAAAAAAAACAACACACATAAGGAAAAACCCAAACGTAAACTAGAGCGAGGAAGGAAAAGTAGGGACAGTACTTTGAAGATCTGGGGATTACCATAAGAAGGAAGCGAACAAGCAATGAACATAAAAAAGCCAAGGTTATCTAACATCTAGGACATGTACTAATCCTAGAAAAACTCATTCAAAATACGATCCATTGACGATCCGTAAAGGATCGATCGACGACCGGCGCCAAAGCCATCTCGTTGACGGCTAACTATGAAAGGTCTCACTAAGTGTATCCTAGGTCGATGCAATCTTGGAAAACCCAGCGAGACATACAGTCTCAAGAAAATCCGCGGGCAAGTAGGCGAAGAGCATGTCTTAGCTTCACGAAGAATAATGTTTTTGCGCAGTTAGACTAGGTCAAGCTCCTTCAATAGCCCATCCACGTTTGTGGTAACCTAGATATACGGCCAGCGCTGGTAACGAAAGGATGTAGTTGCTCCTATATCAAAACTTTATGAAATAATATTAATCAATAGTAAATATTGTTAGATACAAGTTTACCTGATCAGAAAACATATGTACAACGCATGGATATACACGCTCAGGATGCATGACACTAATAAGGTTTACATAGGATAAGGAAAGACAAGAACAGACGAAGAACTGGATTGCTTCCCTGTTTCCCGAAGTTTTGGGGAGAGGAATCAAACTATTTTCATAGACAACTGACACAAATTTCTTTGAGAATATGAAAGACAATAAGTTATATACTGGTAATCTATACATACAACACGATGTGTAAACATTATGTACAATTTCGGCAATTCTTCGAAGGTGATGAGGGTTTCTCACGCCTTAGTATTTTTACCCTTCACCTCCTTGTATGACACGACGTATCGCTGCGGGATCGGCAGTGGAGGAGAGTATCCATTGCTATAGGTAGGGTCTTCAAAAGCAACCAAATAATCATCAGTGGCAAGTTGGGGAACTTTCTGCACAACTCCTAAAATAACTTGTAATCCAACAAGACCACAATCGAGATGAAAAAGCGAAGTTCAATGCTGCCCATGGGAGCTAGATCTCAACAACATGTGACTGTATTCCTAGGAAAGTTTCAAAAAAAAAAGCAGAAATGGCCAAGGTTGGCAGCCAACGTAACACAGTCGGTCAGATTGTGGAACAATTACAAGAATCTTTGAGTGTTATGATAAGTGTTTACTCTGTTTCCACTTGATGTTTCGTTAACTGTTATTTCGCCGCAGTACGAGTTCCGAAAGTCTCACAAGGTTGGCGATATATGGACAAAACTTCAGCCTCGGACGGGACTCGAACCCGTACTTTACTTGTGCTTTCCGCGCACCGTGCCTATCCTCTACTCAGTATACACGGCGTATACTCTGTGACATCTTTATAAGCGAATACTCTTACCTTTGTAGAAGCATGTAGTTTGTGGATATAGCGCTAGAACGATTGCCTCAAGAGGAAATAATGCATGAGCATCTCTTTCAGGATCAGCTCTCCATTTCGGTAGAGGGATGAGGCGACGCCGAGCTATTGTGAGCCGAACCTACATATGCCCGTCATTGAACACTGCAATGAAAAGAAAGTAAAAACATACCACCTTTTGCTCATCGTCAACATCCTTCACATCATATCGACCGGTAGGGCTAACCGCGACGACCTGGAATCTTTAAAGTTGTGCTTCTAGCGCGACCGATCCATAGGGATTTGACCAACCATTGGAGAGACAAATGGTTTTACAAAACAACGAATGAAAAAATGGTTCGAATGAAAGACCTAACAGTGAAATACCTCTGCTAGTATCCAATTTTCGTCAACGTAGGCAGCGACGGAATCACCTGACTTGAGAGGCATAGTCTCAGGAATAGCAATGGCTCCAACGAAAGGTGGTGGGAAACCGTCCACACCACCAACAAAGAGTGGTAACGATGTCCCCTGAACATAAGAAGGACTCCTCTGAAACTTAAGAGGCAGTTTTTGGTAAAAATAAGAAAATATAAATTTGAAAGGAGAGCAATTGTCTGTACCTGCAAATTGATCAACTGCATCAAAGCATGCCTTTTCAAGTGCGTTTTCATCTTACTTCTGAACTCAGATTTGCGTATCCTTTCAATCTCACTGAGGAGTCTCCTGTAACTGCACCGTTTCAATTATAATAATAGAGAGGTAATTCTGAATTCTGATTCACCTTATATATTCCCCTTCGCTTTCACAGGCTTTCAACAGTGTTTGGTACAGGGCGAGTACTTTGGGTTTGTTCTTGTGACATAGTATTCCGCCTTTCTCAGTGTACGACTGTAGCGCTTCGAGGGCCTCGTTGACGCGATCTTTTCGGGAGCGGACATGCACTAACTGAAAACAATCGTGCAGGAAAGGAATTAATTATTCCTAGAACTTGCGATACCTTTCTGTGGATATCACCAATGGGGTTTGTCTTCTTATCAGATGTATATTCCTCATCGCTCTTCTTGTGCCTGACCATTGATCGATGCTGACTAAAAGTAGAGTATTGTTACTGGAAGTCACTTTCTTTTTACTCTGAATCGAATGAAGACTCGAGTGAAATTGACGGGGAGAAGCCATAAAAGGGTAGAAAAGGACAGTTATAAGCATAGAAGAGGGACTTATAAGTATACTGCCACTACTATTCATAGAAAAAATGAAGTCGTATGTGAAGGATAACTTAAGGCGTTCTTTCAGACGGTTCACTCCTCAGCAGTGATTTTTTCGCAATATCGTTGGTCTTTAAATAGTTTTCACAACAAGCTAGCAATTGTTTGAGCATTAATGATGACTGCTTCAAGGCTTNAAGGATAGTAGACGAAGTTCTCTTATTCACTAGAGTTAGGACTGTATTATACTCAAAGCTAAATTGTATCTCTTTGAAAAAAGCCCATTAGGAAAGACTATGCGCATAATTCTGCTCTTCAGACACCAAAATCTGTGATTTTAAAATCTTAAGTATTTCTGCTAAACGATATAACTTGCTCCAAACTCGTATCCTAACAAGCAAGTTTGAATATTCCCTATTTGTACAACATTTCGTGAACAATTTAGTTGTCAAGTAATTAAAACTAAAAAGGAATTTGGTAGAGGCTGGCAAAGCGTTGCGCTTATTGATCGAGTAGCTGTGGCGCACGGTGTTCATATTAGGGCGCGCTTTTTGCTTTATAGCGAGAAGCAGCGACTTCAAGGCCCATTAGCCAGGTATCGAATCATATTATGTGACACAGAATTCTGAACTGTAGGTCCTTGATCGGATGTCCAGCTCGGAGAGCAGAAAGAGAAACCAATAAAGTCAGGATACAGCCGGTCTTTATCCAGTCTTCTTGTGGAAAACCTTTTTTAATGCGCCGTTAAGTGAAGGGTATTCCCCATCGTGGGAGATTGCTGCATTACAAAAAACGGCCAGCTGAGAAATTTCTTTTGTTTGTAGCCATCGATGTGGAAAAGTAGACGTCGATGGCATATCAGCGCTGCTAGGGAGACGAAGGGTAGGATCCTTTTTGTGTAATCGATTTGCCGCGCGCGGCAGTTCGCGGGCCATTCGCCTCGTTATTACGGTCTTACCGTTACTCATACAGCTCAATCGTTTATTTATTTATCATGCGTTTATAATTTTTGGCATGATTCTAATGTTATTTATTTTGTTCTGGTATTTCATGCTTCCTGCTGCATTCTGCTACAGTCCTTCGCGCGCGGCGTCTCTCTTGCAGCGACGCGGGAATTTCGACCCTACTGCACCACACCCCTTCGCTACAACGCATGGCACCCCTCGGTGATCGGGTACAGTGTGTGCTTTCACCATATTGATTTCAAATACAGTTGTGAAGGCGCTCCAACTCGTCCCTCTAGCATCACTTTCTCGTACGACTAATCGATTTTTACCTTGTGGAGGCTGTCCAATCAATATAATAGGAGATGTTAACACGTCAAATAAAGTGTCCCATTAATGCTAGGAATCACGCAGTAGCCGAGAACCCTATGAAGGCTCAACGCCAGGTATGATGCTACAACTTATTGAGAATGCAAGCAGTTATCAATAGACTTAGCGCATGGCGTGCAGGGGCTCTTGCGAAGAGCATAGGTAGCTATGAAAACCAGGATTGCACGCCTTCATAGGAAGACCCGCCCAGTCGACCTAAGTGGGTGAAAGAACACAGAGAATACAACAAAGACAAAGCTACCAGATTTCGCTTATCTTAGTAAACCCTCGTTCATCCACTATCGCAAAATTTTTTTTTCACATCACATTTTCTTGAAAAGAAGAGCGAATACAGGTGCAGGAGAATCATATTTACGCAACTCTTCAAGAAATTTGGGTTGGCTTCCCTTTCTAGAGAATTTTGGAAGAATTTTCAAATTTCGAGTTTTTTTGATATGACGAATACTACGATGAGCTACCTTTCTATATGAACGGAAAGGAATAACCACCTTCAGAAGGTACAGTTCACGATACTTTTTGGTCATCTAGTTTAAGATGAACATTGGAAGTGATAGTCCAGAACAGTTCAAAAACAAGGGAAGAAAATGCGAAAATCATAAAAATATAAAGCTCCAAAAATAATGAAATCTGGGATTGAAGGGGAATATGATGATAAAAAATGGCACACACAATGGCATACGCACTTGGACGAGTTGTCGAGTGTGTGTGCCATTGCGTACAGCTGGCTACAGTAGGCTGCGTGTAAGTGTGCATCCCGATGCGAAGGGTGCAATTTTCACAGGCTCCGCGACGCCGTGAGGACACTTCCTCCTTTGGGCGTGTACGCCATCTAACTATGAATTGATTTTAGGGCCCTGTTTGGGCCGTTTTTTGACGTGACAGCGTCACTCGTGCTATCCTTGGGGGTCATAGGCTCGTCCTAGAGAATAATCTCGGAAACCATTCTCAAGGGTGAACTTTCGTCTTTCACCGTCATGTTGCATAGCGACCATTTCCTAAGGTAGAACATCGAAGGCAATAAATCCGGGACCATTCAGTTCAGATGGGAGTTTTTGCATTTCGTTTCTTGGTTGCCAGTTTTTCCCGGCAGTTCTAAAGCTTTTCATTCCGTTTCTTAGTTACCACTGCATACTCCTGGGCGATTGTTTCTCATTTCGAATGACAGTGCCACCATCGAGCATACGTTTCGCGATGATCTTTCCCTTTTGGGTAAGTTCTTATAAATTACGGAGAGCCAGTTGATCGTTCAACAAATTTCTATTGTTTAAAGGTACTCCTCGTAATTGCGATTGTCGCAGCTGAGGAACATACCACCTGGGCACCTTATGGTAGGTTTGTGAAACCACTAAATATAACGCTCTTGTTGATCGCCTACAAAACTGGTTAGAAATTTTAGAAATTTTTTTTTGAAGTAGCAAAAAATGACGTAGAATTGCTAAAAGAATGAAACTAAAGAGCAGTGTGTCCCAGTTGTTGAACAGTCTACATTTGGCTTGTAGGCTGTTGAAGTGGCCAAACAAGTAATTCATGAGACAATCATTTTGTAAGAAAGTCATGATCTTGGCCGGGCCTGCGACGGAATCTGAGGAACTCGTCACCTAGTCAAAAGTAAAAGGAGAAAGGACAAAGCCTTTGGCGTCGATCAATCGTATCTGGGATGCGCCACGGCATTCGACTTCCCTTCACAGTCGTAGAGGTGATTTGAGTGAGCATGTGGCCTATACAATGACTAGCGGACAGTAGTTTTGTCCTCCCAGACCATTTTGGTACCAATTAACCGACCTCGGAGGAATGGAAGGCTCCATTGGTTTGGCGCACTTCGTTTCCTTGTCTAGTTGGTGACTCGGAGCATTAACTGACTTCTTGAAATGAGACCTCCTGCTGAATGTTATCACTTCTTGACTACCATTGAAAATTTTCTTTCTTATTGTTAGCGGGGCTTGCCATATCTTCCAGAATGTCTTCTGCTTGAGATAGATTTTCAAGCCTCGGGCCACGGTGATATTCATCGGTGTTCTTTTGTGAACAGTCGACTCTTTTACAAATTATGGTCACCAAAGATAGAACCAAATAGACAATATTCGGCTTTGCAGTTGATGGTGAGAGAGACTTGGGAGTATCTTGGTCGCCAGTACATTCACAGGGGTCATTGCGGAATGTAGCATTTTACTGTAACCTGATTCACGGATATCGCTGCTTCATTTCCTTCAGTTTGTAGGAAAGATTGTTGGCATACATGCTTAATAAAAATATAATAAAATGAATCAGAACGTACGGAAACAAGCAGTTCTTCGGTCCGACTACAGCGCTAACTTGAGCTTAGTTTTCCAATTGTAGCTCCCTATGGGAAGTACTTTTTTGATCACGAGAAATGGTCTCTCGAAATCTATGGACGTTTTCGAGATTCTCCTGAAGTTTCGATTTCCATGACCGATTTCGTCGTCTGCTTCCGTTCGTTTCTTAGTCTCAAGCAGTATTCTTTTCATGCAATGCAAACTGCTCTCTCAGAAACTGGCCAGGTCACCATTTTCGAACAGTCAGTCGAATAAAAGTCACTAGCTTTGAGAACATACAAAAGCATTAATGCTGGAATCCTCCTATATACCTAAGTTTCACGTTTCCTTTCATGGTGCCTCGCTTAGTCATCGCTTGTATCGTGGACACCTTCATTACGTCCATTCTGAAAGTTTCTATCTGAAAATTTTTTGAAGATTGATCGATTGATAGCAGAGGGTGATCCTAATGAGCAGGCATGAACTGCCCTTCTTGTTGATCGCAGAGTTTCAACCGTCTCCGGTAGACAATCTTTTTATCTCCGGCACTGGCGCCGGTATCGGCACCTACTACTAATACGCCCATTTGCCAGCTTACAGTGAGACTTTGCTAGCAGTATAGTAGGATCGTGGTCTACCGGGCGACGGTTATGGCTATTACATGTGCATGCTGGCAACTACATTACGGACAAAGGCTCTTGGCGAAGCGGTACGACCTCAGAACGAACCCGGCGACCGAGAGGAAGAAGGGCATTTCAAAGTATTTCCCACCTCAGCTCAATTCACACCAATAAAACCCTGTGCTCCGTTCTGGGATGACTAAGAAGCCTTTTTGAATGCTGCTCGCTGTAGGGAAGCCATGCAGGCCCTGTAACCCTTTTCCGACTCGGTAGATTGAGACACGAGTACCAAATGCTTCGAATATGTTGTTTTTTTGTTAGCGTTTTATTGATTGTCACATAATAAATTTTAGGATAGCGTAATGATTTGCCAAGCGAAACACCTGAGTTACTTCAAAATTTTTCATATTCTTTTTCATATTGTTCTCATATAGAGAACACTTGAAATAGAGTCATTTGTGACACACACTCCACACACCACACACATATACACAAATACACACATACTCACACAGTGGCTGCTTTCATTCCACGATCTAGCGTGCGAGCGACCGACCGAACGAGCGAGCGAGCGATTGGGACGGCGTTTGTCCCTTGTTTATTACTGAATCTTGGTCGATACCGCGGACAAGCGCCGCTCCAATCGCTCGCTCGCTTGGTCGGTCGGTCGGTCGTTCGTCCGCTCGCGGGCCAAATCGTGGACTATGAAAGCAGCCAACGAGTCAATAATACTCACACGCATTTCACTAAGTCACTATTAATTCTTCAGTCGATTGTTACATATGTTACGAGAACTCTACAACCACAACTTCAACAACGGCAACAACTACGACCACAACTCCTACGACAACAGAAAAGCCACCAACAACAGAGGAAATGTTATATTCTCAATGTCAACTATGCACGACCTTGCCCACGACAACCCAGTCTTCAACCGTTACATCTACCGAGATCACTTCGACATCAACACCTACGACGACAACAGTAGAGTCAACGACAATCGCAACAACAATCCCTACGACAACAGAAACGTCAACAACAACCGTAGAATCAACGACATTAGCTACAACAAGAAAGACATCAGAGAAGCCAACAACAGCAGCTACCACAATGACGACAACAAAGGAAATATTATATTCTCAATGCCGTCTGTGTACAACCTTGCCCACGACTACCCAGTCATCAACCGTTACGCCTACTACCATCCCTTCAACATCAACAGCTATGACAACGGAAACAACAGTAGAGTCAACAACAATTGCAACAACAATCCCTACGACAGCAGAAATGCCAACAACAACCGTAGAATCAACAACAATAGCAACAACAACTTCCACGGCATCGAAAACGCCAACAACAACAGCCACAGCAATAACAACAACAAAGGAAATATTGTACTCTCAATGCCGGCTGTGTGCAACATTGCCCACGACAACCCAGTCTTCAACCGTTACATCTACTGCCATCACTTCAAAGTCAACACCTACAACAACAAAAGAGGAGTCAACAACAGTCCTCACGACAACAAAAGCGCCAACAACAGCTGTAGAGACAACAACATTAGCAACAACAACAACTTCCACGGCAAAGAAAACGCCAACAACAACAGCTACAGCAATAACAACAACGAAGGAAATATTGTACTCTCAATGCCGTCTGTGTACAACACTGCCCACGACAACCCATTCTTCAACCGTTACATCTACTGCCGCCACTTCAATGTCGACACCTACAACAACAAAAGAGGAGTCAACAACAATAGCAACAACAGTCCTTACCACAACAAAAGCGCCAACAACAGCTGTAGAGTCAGCAACATTAGCAACAACAACAACTTTCACGGCAAAGAAAAAGCCAACGACAACAGCCACGACAATGACAACAACAGGGAAAATCTTATATCCTCAATGCCGTCTATGCACAACTTTGCCCACGACAACTCTGTCCTCCACCGCTGCATCTACTGCCACCACTTCAACATCAGATAAGGCCTCTACGACGAGTGCAACAGCAACAACAAAGTCTATGTCAACGGAATTGCTAACAACCTCAGCAACAGCTGCTACGGAAGCGAAAGAGTCAACAACAACAGCACCTGCGATGAAGACGACAGCAACAACTCTTACCGCAACGAGTAAACCATCAACAATCGCAAAGTCAGCGAAAACAACTTTTACGACAGCGGAAGAGTTAACAATTATGGCAAAAGCAACGACAACCAAATCAGCAACAACAGTTACTTTAGTGGAAGACCCAGCATCAACGGTCAAGGCAATAAAAATACCGGCAAGAGCAACGATGGCAGAACCTTCTTTGCAGCAGTCACTTCAGGGCGAAAGTTCAAAATCACTTGGTGTCCATATCTCAATTGCAACAAAGGCAACACAAACAACAGCGACTTTCAAGGTAGCAGCAACACCAAAGACAATAGAAGGAGTAGGAACAGCTGAGCCGGCTGTTTCGACGGAAACGTCGACAATAACAACAAAGGTACAAACAACATCAGCACCAACAGCAACAATAAACTTAATGACAATGGAAACGCCGAAAACGGCAACAAATGTACCAACTATTCCTGATCTTTTTGCGACTGAAACAGTGGCAACAGCAAAAGCAACAGAAACAAATGAAAATGTCACTGAAATACCAAAAACTGTAACAGAGCTAGCTAAAAGTGGGACAGCTGCAACGGCTGAAACGGCGATAGCGACATCAAAGACATCATCAACAATAGAAACGACAGGTTCCACTACAGCGGAAAAATCGACAGGAACAGCCATAACGACTACAATCCAGCCGTCAACTACAACTGTCTTCATGTCAAAGGTACAAAGCGTTCATACTTCAACTGCAGCAACAACTTCTTCGTCGACAAAAACGGAAAAATCAACAGCGGAGACTTTAACAACAACAACAACGGCTATAACAGAGGAAAAGGAAGGATCAAGCACTGCTGCGGCGACCGCAGGAACAGGAAATTCTACTGCCATTTCTCTGGAATCAACTAAAGTTCCCTCATCATCTGCATCAGTCGCAACAACTCCAGCAACTCTTACGACAGCTGGGTCACCATTAAAAACAGCGAATATAACAACAACTCCAATAAGTAGTTCAACTGAAACGCCGGCAACGTCAGCAGAGACAACAGCTACAACAGCAATGGAAAAGGAGTATACAAGCACTGCTACTGCGGCGACAAGAACGAGAGCGGCGTCAACAAAGGCAACAACATTGAAAAAATTGATAAAAATCACAAAAGAGGCGGCTTCGACAACAAAGGGTGTCCCTATTTCGCAGTGTCGTTTGTGCCCAATATTTTCCCCAACGACGACCCAGTTGCAGAGCTCTACTGCCATCACTTCTACATCACGTCGAGACCAAACGTCGCCTGCGACGATAGCAGTAACAAGAATGTCTCCTACGACAGATGAGATAGCAGCAACTACAACGGCTAGTGCAGCAAAAACGCTGGCAACCACATCAACAAAGGCAACAACAAGGGGAAAGGAAGAAACAAGCAGTACAGTTGCAGTGACAGACATGGGAACCACAACAAAAGTTGCTACGACATCGGAAATACCAACACTAACCACAACAGGGATGACTCCTATATCCACTGCCCCTGTCAGCACCTCGGAGTCACATCATATCCGTGCATCTGCGGAGACTAGTGCAACAACTGCTACGACAACGAAGAAGCTATCGACGGAGACAAAAGCAACTATACCAACTTCCTTATCAATAGAAGAATCATCAACTACGATTATTTTAACTACAGCACCGTCTTCTGGCGCCACAGCGACACAAACCACAACGGTGATGACTCCTATACCCACTGTCATCACTTCAGCGTCGCAGCCGTCTGGCACCGTGGCGACTGCACCCATTTCAGGAACAGATCGCTCCCGTGAGTCTCGTGAAACAACGGCAAATGATGAAATGACGGCATCTGGTGTCACTGAACGTACACCACCTGCGGAGACGAGTTCAACAACTCCTAGTACAACGAAAAAGCCGCCAACAGGGGCGAAAACAACGACAACAACCTTCTTCCCAATGGGAAAATCAACAACTACAGCCATTTCAACTACAGCATCATCTGGCATCACAGCGACCGCACCCACTTCAGGAACAGATCGCTTCTATAAGTCCAGTGAGACAACAGCACATGATGAAATGACGGCAACGAGTGCTACCGTTGAAACCAAAAAACAGGCGACACTTCCGAAGTCTTCAGGTATTACCATGACTCCAACTGGGACCAAACCCAGTGAAACAACAACGAATGCTACCCTCGATACAATAGGAACCACGAGCACAACCGCAATCACATCAACAATCACAGATGAATCTTCGTCGGTTTCTTCTAGTACCGAACTAGGTTCCACTGCAACTACCATGACAGCTGAGACAACTGTTAGCCCCTTCACGACAGCAGATACCTCAAGATTACCAATTTCTGAGTCGAGTATTCCTACATCACCAGACAACATGACAAAAGGCACCATCGAGCCTGATACCTACTCATCGACTTCCATTGTCGAAACAACTGCTCGGCATGGTCTCTCAACAACAATAACAACAGGTACGACAAATTCTATTTTCATATAGCTTTCTTAGGAAAGATTTTCAGTGGGCCCCGAAAAAGATACTCGTTAGGGGTGCAGTGAACAGTGGGGTTGTGTCTTTCGATTTACCGAACATATCCTTCCCAAATAATCAAGTGAATCAAAACTAACACCAAGTTCTGGGGCAACTTTTCGCTTTCTTCACATAACAGTTACGATACTTCGGTGGAACATGTGGGGATAAGCTCCTAGTTTTAGAAGTGGGAGCGCCTTCAACATGGAGCAGCCCTTGTTTTCTTCCACTAAGCTCAGGGAATCGTTACAATAGTGACTCCATAACTTCAGCGGTATTCTTTTTCAGAAACACCTAAGAGGAATGAGACGATCTCTCCCATCACGAAGATTTCAAGTGTAAGCGCCACGTCGTCACCCTCGACTGACGAAAATGTTACGGGGAAAACGACAACGAAATTTGCAGTAAGTGAAAATATGCTCTACGTAAGCCACTGAACGACTAGTTCATAGATGAGTGAGGTTTTTGCTCATAGCGGAGGACCTTTTAATATTGCCTGGCGTATAGATTGACTGAAAGCTCCCTTCCTGAAAGACCTTTGATGTTTAAGCTATCTGCTTTCGAGAGTTCCTGATCTTACAATGTATCAGTGAGAATAAATGCGTATAACGAGGGCAACCCCAAACATGATACCTCTTCATTTCTGAACACTCGAATGGCCACTGCTTTTTGTAACACATTTTTGTGATGCACGGCGTTTCGTTGTTTTAGGGCTGAGAAAGAGCCCTATCCCCGGCGGGTGACGGAACTTCTCCCCGAAATCTCATGGCTTAAGGCCATGGTTCTGCGGCGACTCTCCGTATCCTTCCACAGGGAATTCGAATCTTTTCCTCCACAACGCGCGATCGCGTGCGGTGAGCACGACAAGCCGTTCGGGGAGAAGATAGCAGACCCGTGATCCGGCTATACTGACCAACCGCCGACAGTCAGGATCTTGACGGAGCAGATAGCGAGGCAGTACGCGCTCGCCTTCTCCATCGAGAGGCTGGCTGTAGGCAGCTCGACAGCATAGCCGGAAAATGCGATGGTGTAGCGTCATGGTATGGCAATCTAACAAATATAGGCCGGACCCACTGTGCATGGCGACAGCCGGGGCATCCGCGATATAAGTTTTGTGGGTGTCGCGACAACTTTACCATGTCTTTCTCGTCGGAGCAGAGCTTTTGTGCAGTATATGAAGGGTCTTTCCGCTGCGACGATTAATGGTGAATTATTAGGTGACAAAGCATGGGTGCGTGTTCTTACTATACGTTCCTATGCCAACATCTTCCTACTGTTACCGGTTATCTACGCAAACTATAAACACGCTTTTGTTCCTTCTTGGAAGGTTTTCGTTTTTTGACAAAGTTTCGGGAAAGAAGAAAATAAGAGGTTTTCGATAGGCTTTTCTACAGCCGCTCGCCTCTTTTCTTATCTTTCCGGCCGTAATGATCAAATTTTCAGTCACTCAGTAAGACATTCAGGATTGCCTCGCTTCGCAGCTTACCTTGAACATTTCCATGAATTCATCATTTCCACTTGTGATTGAGGAACCGGCTACGTTCACAGTGGTCTTCTCATCAAACACGGTTAGTTTGGGAGGCCTCTTGCCTAAACAGAGGCATCTGAACGCGTACGTTTTGCAGGAGAACGTCACATGTGGCAATCCGACATGGATTGTGAACGACAAAAAACAGGCGGACAGGGGACCATGGTTGACGTTCCGACGACTGAAAAGTAGAAACTACACTATCTGCATCGAATTCGAAGGTAAGGGATCGGTTTTCAAAGGGTTTCTGGCAAGCTGGATTGATTTATCATTCAGGAGAGACAACGTCGATCTGTGGTTATGTGCATGTCTCCGACAGACCATTATTTGTCCTCAGTGGAGACCCTGACCTCGACAAGCCAGATGACCATAGTGCTACAAGGAACATAACGAAATATCTAGATGAAAGCTTGAATCTTACTGTCGTCCCGTCACTGAAGGATGAGCCCTATGTAGGAATACATAAGCGTAAGGACTCAATACCTAATACATGGCTTGGAGATCAGATCTTTAGGTAATCACCTGGAACTGCCGCATCTTCGATACGAACTCATCCTCGCCCAGTATACAGTCATCAAACTGCTTCAAATCAGGTACGAGTAGTCAGGACTACCTTGAATAAAGATTGGAACTACTCCGAACGATACTAGAGATACCTTTTCACCATGTTGCGCTCTGGCAAATGATGCTTCATCTTTTAGGAGCAGCTTCGACTCTGAATTGGACGTCAACATCCGTTGACTTCAACAGGCTCTCGAATTTCTTCACTGGCCCTGGCGTGTACGATATGGTAATCACCGTAAAGTATACCGTATCCAAAAGCACAGCCTCTCGATACATCATAATAACTCTGTTGGAAACTACAATAACAGCATCGGATACCAAGCTGTGGACGAGTTCATCAGATCGGCAAAGGATAACGGAGGACGATATGCTAAAAAGCACAACGGGTCTGGATCTACTGGAAACTACAGCGAATATCAGTCTCCTGAGAAGCACATCGGACGCCAACCTTCAGAAGGGTACATCGGATCGTGACTCCGAAAAGACTTCATCGACTTCTGACGTCCGGGGGAGTACTTTGCCTGTCGATCTCAAGAAGAGCACATTGCATTTCGCTCCTCAGTCAACTTTACGTGCTGTCGACCATCAAGTAAGTACAACGGATATCGATTTCCTGAAGGATACCTCGTACATGGATCTCGAAGATACTACCTTGACGGATGAACTTCAGACGAATATATCAGCATCAAGTACAACTTCTGCCTATTTAGGACCAGGCAGTAAGTCCCCCAAAAATATTATTTATGGTAAAATTCAATGCCGAAACTGTTATTTCCACAAGTCAGTAGTAGTTGCAAAAGCATTGAAAACACCGAATGATCAGGACATTCATCCTGGGGCAGGATTCGCAAGGTAAGGTGAATTGGACGCGGAACTCAGGCTAAACTCGGACCCCTTAACACTAAAACCAGGTTTTCTTCTCCGCACATCGAAAAGCTTTTGCCAAAAAAAAAGAATCAAGAATAACATTTTCCTGGATAGTTTGAAGCCTTCTCCGTCTTGTAAGAGCTGATTTTCAGTGATGAACGCTACCACAGACAGATTTTCTATCGAAGCGAGTCATCGTCATGGTTTTAAGCTTTCTACGACAGCAGCGTCCACTCACAAGGAAGTAACTGTATCCCAATTTCTTTTCATAACAACTATGAACTTCATAACTTGTTCTCAAGATTAGCTCGTTTACAGTTCGTTACTGCTCGAACTTTATCGCCTAAACAAAGGCGACAGTTGCTCAAGCACCTCCAGCAAATTATGAAGGGTCTCTCATCGATACTAAACTATACCAATCCATATGGTCACGATATCATCAAACGGCTAGCTAAACTACCGGTAACTGGATGATTTTTGGTTACAAAAGATTTCAGAGTTATAAGCGGAACTTGTGCCTTAGACGGGACTCAAGCCCTCCCTAACGCTTCCCAGAGATCGTGCTCTTTATCCCATACACTAGCGAGATCCCATTTGCGTGATTGCGTAAATGGCTGCTTCCATATTCCGCCGGCCGGCCCGCGAGCGCGTGGGTTGGGGGACTACTTGGAAGACGATACCTGCCAAGATGAGTTGTAAACAAGGGACAAGCGCCGCCCCCGCCCGGCGCGCTCGCTCGTTCGCTCGCGGGCCGGCCAGCGGACTATGAAAGCAGCTAGTGGGAACGTGGGCGCAAAGTATTAATGATCCGTAATCGCGACTAGAGCGACAACGAAGAGATTAGCTAGGGCTATATTAGCAACACCTCCTCTTCTCTGGTACTCCCCTCTTCGCTTCCTAATAGTACCCTCTTGAATAGTCGGTGAGGGGTAACTGATGATATCGTCATATGTTTGGGCTGCTAGCCTTGACTGATTCAGTTCAGGGGTTTTCATCGATCATCTATCAGTGACTTACTGCTACTGGATCACTTACTACTACAATTTGCCCTATAACTCATATCCTGTTACCTTTTTAAGCTGATTCCACGCTCCTTGATTACTAATAATACCGTTTTGTTTCAGGGCAACCAGCTTTCCGTCGTGGTGAACTCATTGCTCAACGGTCGAGCCGAGGTAAGACGATAGCCGGTATGACTCAATGAGGAAAACCTCAGTTTTACTCAAGTACTAAAGAGTGAAAAGCTGAATATAATGGACACTCTAAAAAAACATGCGCTTCGATTTGATTTCCGAATTATTATTTACCAAAGACTTGTACTTATGAAAATTACAAGATAAAGTTTTCAAACAAGAAGCAGAACTTAAGAATTGAATTGAGTTATGGTGTCCAAANATTCCACGCTCCTTGATTACTAATAATACCGTTTTGTTTCAGGGCAACCAGCTTTCCGTCGTGGTGAATTCATTGCTCAACGGTCGAGCCGAGGTAAGGCAATAGCCGGTATGACTCAATGAGGAAAACCTCAGTTTTACTCAAGTACTGAAGAGCGAAAAGCTGAATATAATGGACACTCTGAAAAAACATGCGCTTCGATTTGCTACCTGTTGAAAAAGAAATTTAAAAAGAAGATTATTTAAACAAGTATCGATTTCCAAATTATTATTTACCAAAGACTTGTACTTATGAAAATTACAAGATAAAGTTTCAAGCAAGAAGCAGAATTTAAGAATCAAATTGAGTTATGGTGTCCAAAAGTAATTATGGTGTAAAGTCTGAAGTTAGATATTCGCCCTGGCGGGAAGTCCAAGTTAAACTTGCAAGTGACACATTCAAGTGTTTTCACGATCCTGAATGGAAGTGATATGCGTGGCGCACACTAGAAAGGTTGAAAGGTGCTGGGCTGATGCTGGGTCCACTCAATGCGCTAACTTTATTAACATTTTTGAAGCAATATTGAGCTTTCAATCACCTCTTCTGCCGCTCCGTTGTTCATCGACTTCCCCGAGCGCATGCCAGTGACGTCTCTATTCTCCTCCTGTCCCGAGTCACAGTAATTCGGTGGACCTTCCTACTCGAGGGCTAGGAGGCACAGGTCTGCTTTCAGAGCTTTGTGAGGAAGTGTGACGGTAGAGCGTCCTGGGGTTGTTTGTTTGTTCGAAATCTACTTAGTAAACATGATACTACCAGAATACTAGTCTTTTAAAAACATTTCAGGTTAGCGCCAGTATGACGTCTGAGCAAATGATTGATGATCTAAAGCAGTACATGAATGTTACAAACGAAGTTATTGCAAAAGTACGTTCTCATTGACATCCGCTCTTCTTCAGCACTTCAGCAGATGGCTTTTATAGAAGCTGGATGGCTTGCTAAAGGAATTATCGAAAGTCGGTATTTCAAGTGCTGATGCATTTAGTGGAGTATTGAATACTTTAAACAATATATTGAAAAAAACTACTTCGAGTACCATAAAAGGAAAGTATCAGGTGAGTGACCTAATCGAAAACCATACTGCCTGAGGAGTTTGAAGGCTTTTTGTTCACATTGTATCACATTAGCCTAGTTTGTGTAGAGGGAGGCGGATGTTCTCCTGATGTTCCATTCTTAAACTTACTTACCTCCTACTTCCCTCCGGCAATAATTGGCTAGGTCCCATTTTTTGTTTTCCCGTAAAGACGGCTAGCGGGCATCGTAATATCCTCAAATTTGCACCTGTCATGTTCGCACGTTACCTTTCCAAGGAGTCCTCGAATAGAGGTGGAGATGATCACGGCGCAACCTCATTCGCTGACATCTCCATATGTCATTTTACTTTGTAAAAAAACAACATCGGCTTGGTCAAAAGCGCTTCACAGTCAACTAGCGCTTCTGGCAGAGAGAGGGCTGTCTTGCAACTGAAGGATGTCCCCACTCCATCGGGAACATGGGGAATACGGGGCACCTTATGAAATGACGTATCGGTAGATATATCCTAGGAAGAAGACTTGAACCCTCTGTTGGGGCAGCCGATAAATTTAGACCCGGTGAACCTTAGGGGCAGGCTCGCAGAGCTGAGTTAGGGACGTGGGAAGCCAAATCTGTTCCCAAATCGTTTCATTAGGCTCGGCATTCGAGTTGTTTGTGCACATTCACCTTATAATAAAACAGCAGAAGCAAAGCCACTCCAAAACAGTGAATATTTAGAAATCATCTGGTTCGATGTACGGTACCATGGATTGCAGGGATTTTCAGGCTGCCATTTTTGATATGATGGTAGAAATACAATGATATAAAACATATAATGACTAGTTCCAGACAATTGAGTATTCTTGAGGTCACTATATCTGGAGATGAAGTGTTCATCGAAGGTGACATACGATCTGCTCTTCTCCAACTCAATCCCACGGCTACCGTAAGTTTCACATGGTTTGTGATGCGTTGCGTATGTCTTTGATTGTCTCTCAGCTCGTTTTCAATGCTGGGACCATTGGCTTTGATGGGCAGTATGGCAAGGATGCAGTGATCACTTTACTTCCTGGGAACTACGAAAAGAAAGAGTTATGTACGGAGCAGTATGGCTACAGATTTGAAAATAAACCTGAGGTTTGGGATTACCCTAAAATTCCATAGATAAGAGCGGTTTGCTTTACTGGTGAAAAATGAATTGGAAACATTTGAAATTGAATGCAGTCACCCTCTAACTTGATGGATGGATAAATAAAAATCGGAGGAGAAGTTTAGAAGAAGCTCCGCCCCACAACTCTAAACCCCGCCCATTTAATAAACAATTCATATAGAAAAAATAGCGATCCGTTAAAATTGCCACTTTTCTATATGAATTGTTTATTAAGAGGGCGGGGTTTAGAGTTGAAGGGCGGAGCGTTAGAGGGGTGACTGCATTCAATTTCAATTTTTTCCAATTCATTTTTCACCAGTAAAGCAAACCGCTCTAATCTATGGAATTTTAGAGTTCTTTACTGACTGAGAGAACAGAATCATTTAAAAAGTATAAATTGCAGATCATGCAACCAGGGCAATCGCTTAGCCTTCGGTATCACGTGGAGCTATGGAATGCCACAGAAGTCTCAGTGGTGAATCGACAAAAACCAATGGAAAACACAGCAGTTACTGCTTGGATAGAAATTACCGATGCCATTATCGTCTTGGAGGTTAGCGCTGTGCCCACAGTGAAAGTTCATGGCCTTATAGTGTTTCTAGTAAGCATGGTTGAACTAAGGGCCGTGCAAAGCAAGAGTCATTGCTGGTAAATTACCAGGTTGGTGTGTGCCAAACATTTCGCACCAGTCAGATTTTTCCCGGAATTCGCCATAATCTTCCGTGGGGTTTCTGTGCAAGAAACTTACCCGTGAACGCGCAGTCCATCCGCCTGCCTCTTCCTTGCTTATCAACCAAATAATGACCAAACTGATTACCCATATCCAACACCTACTTCCCTACGAGTTCGAAGCCGAATTTTCCGGTACTGATACCCATTGAAGCTTGAGTCAAGCACTTGCCCGTTTAGCCTCTGTTAAAAGGTTCTGTGCACGCCTTGTTCCAACGTTTCACAGCCTGAATTAATGAGGTAGAAGTCGAGCCCCCATCAGGTCTACCGATTGCAATATCATGAAAGTTTCTGATATAATATGTGTATATTAGTGATTCCTCTGTATTACTGTAGTACTTCTATAGAAACTACCAGAAAATTCAAAAAAAAATCTGATCTATTGTGAAATTTTTGGCAAATACTTTTTGCATAATCTCGCACAAATGTTAGGCGTGTGCATTGATTTCCACCGCCGGATTCAAAGAGTCTTTACGCGAATCATGTTAGAGGTTTACCTGTGAAACTTGTCATATTCTGTAAAATAGGGTATTGGCTACCCATTTAAGGGCAGGCAGGTCAGTTTCCAAAATCCTATTCCTTCCGGACTGATTGTTCATTTCCGAGAGGTTCTTCTCCTTCTGTTTGATTTCAAGAAACTGCTCACCGGATACTTTTCGATACTTATAGAGAACAAGCTCCATCTGAACGAACCTGCAGCTCTCACCCAAAAGCGGCCATTAATGCAAGAACCACCATAAGGTGGTTTTCCAACACGACAATTCCAGACCCCATGTTGCAAAGAATGTCTTAAAAAAATTGCACATCTTGGACGAGATCAACTTGTTCAGCCCGCATACTTCCAGCATCTTGCTCTATCTGATCACCACCTACTCCGGTCCATTCAAGTACGTTTGGCAGATGTTCTTTCGCACTTCTTTGGCAGAATGCCGAAGAGGCTCAAAAAGCGTTCTGAAAGAGATTCTAAGCGAATAAGAAATCAACAAGTTTTGAAATGAGTACGAGAACAACCGATAGAAGCACAACCATCCGTGGGGTTTGACTTATGCAGGGGGGGGGGGGGGGGGGNGCACACACCTAAAGTAGAGTACTTTAGTAGGGTAGGACAATCCTACTAACCTACTTTACTTCAGATTTGGGCCTCAATGATAAACGCTGCAGTCGTCCAAATCGCACCGAATTTCTCCGCGCAATTTGCCGCACGCACCCAGAATGCACAAATCGCCACATACCCCTTATGTAGAGGATCGAGATAAATGGCGAAGAAATACGACGGGAAATCCATAATGCAACCTATCTGAAAGAGGTTTCTTATAGGCGTCATCATCCCTCTATTCAAACTCAACAGAATTATTCGATACGATGAGAGCGGGCGTAGCGTTCAACAGTATGAGTTTCACTTTTACTATGACCTTCGTCGGAGTCGATTACGATATCGCTTATGGGTATGTGACAATTTTGGCATCTGGAAACCCCATCAGTATGCTAGGTGTTCCAGAGCTGGAAAAATGAGACTTTCCGATGTCGGAAATGAGACCGCAACGCTCCTCTACTATGGTGATCGGCCACAGGCTAAAACCAAAGATGGGAAATCGACCACGGCGGTGAAGAATATCGTCGACAATCTGATAGCCGTCGAGAGTAAGTTCAGCCTGTGTACAAGATTGGTGTATGTTGAAGTTCATTTTTGAAAATTTCAGACATCGATCTGGCAGCGTTTGTTTCTAATTCGTGGCCCAAAATGTCGCTCACTCCATACAACAGTGGTCCACTAGTGGGAGCCTTTGCTTTTGCAGGTTATTCTTTGCTCAGTTTCATGCAAGGTGGTAGAACCATAGTGGATAGGAGCGCAGCTTCCCGGTTGTACCTCTGTTGCCTACTTTCTGAGGAACGAGTACTCCCTGCTTTCAGATGGTATCGGATAAATCTGAATAAATGATAAGACGGCTCCAAAACTCCTATATGTCTTCCATCACAAGTAGTTTGAGGGTAGAGGCTTTGGTATTAATGAGTTCTGACATTTCAACTTTCAGTCGGAAAAGGCGTTTTGAAAGCGTATATGGCCTATAGAATGACTTTCGGTAACTAACCGATGTAAAAGCCAGTGCTTTGATCCTCCCAGACGAGTTTCTTGTCAACTGTTATCCTTAGACGGGTGCTAGGCCTGGTTGGCCTAGGTGCATAATACTCCGGGATTCGGTTCCCAGACCATGCTGTTCGATAGCGCGTCATAATTTGACCCTGTACCCACCTCTCACTCATTCTGAATGCCAAGAAGTAATTAAATGCTCCTTTTGTGAAGGCTCTGCACTGCCCACCGTATCTACGATCGCAGAAATAGATGAGAGCTTGCTGACACTAGCAGCAGGACAAGTAAACAGCCTGTATGAATTGCAGCAAGCGATGGGACAAAGACCTACTGGCTTGATCGTATCTGGCACGGTGAGTGTGGTTAGAAACAGTTTTTGATGTTCAACTATTGTAGTTCACTAATTCGTACTGCAGCTGAAATTGTCAAAAGGACTATATAAGGCTTTTGAAAATGCGACACTCTTTTATGAAGGAAATAGTCTGAGTTTGACAAGTGGAACATATATGAGCAGTATAGCTAACGTTCAGTGGGAGGTAAGAGGTGTCTAGTGTACCTTTTTATTTTGAAGCATTTTCTACCAAAAACCACTATTTAGCTGGTCTCTCCAGACGATGACGTATTTGCTTTGAGAATTCTGAGCGGTAAATACTTTCCTGAATCACGAAGACACATCAGGTAAGTGTAGAAAAGCTATGAAAGCAATTCCATCTAAACCGATTATTTAGTTCCTAATCAGTATCAAGAGGGGAGAAGCCGTGAAACTGGCCCACTCCGTTAACGGAAGGGGCTAATCCACGTCAACTTTATCCCTCAGTTAGAATCGAAGGAGAATGAGTCATGGACTCCAATGATGATTCCAAACAAGCAAAGTATCATATGCTGATTACACGACAGTTGACTCCAAGGCCTTAGACACACAACGGAGAGCTGCGCTCTCTACTTAATGGCACAGTTCACGATAATTTTGGGTTATCCAGACTATGACGAAAAATGAAAGAGAAGTCGGAAAATAGTGCGATGAAGGCAAAGGAACTGCGCAAATGGGTTTTCCAAAGTAAAAAGGCTTCGAAAATATCGAAAAAAAATCTCTAAAAAGGGGCTGGACGAAAAAAACCGAAAAAGAACCTTTCAAAAAGGGCTGGACGCGAAGGAGAGCAGAAAATGAAGTAGGAGGGATTTTTGAACGAGCTATACAATGTGCGTCATTGCGTACGTGTGAGTCCTGGGGCGGATAGCTGACTACAGTAAGCAGAAATGTCCCTCGTTTCATTTACTCATAAGCATAATTTAACAGAAACTATAGTAACAGCAAAATAGCCCACCCTTTTCATCCTCCTGAGGTAGAAGATTAACTAAGTGATCGCAACGGCAAAAAGAATAACAGAGAATAACAGAAAAGGAGAAAAACACCGCCCCACTACTGGACGATCAGCTAATTGCGTGCTGAAAGTGTGGGTTGTGGGTCCTGGCGGGAATATTGCAATAAGTACAGGAGTAGGAGGGACGTGGCATCTTGGCCATCCGGTAGGAGAGGCGCGCGATCCACGCGTGACCCCATTAGAGGCGCACGCGCAGGCAGCCCGCAACGCTTCACCCAGCCGATTCTGTACGTTTTCGATGCGATCGCTTCAGTACCCTACAGTTGATATGGACCAAAGGAGCTGTGCACTAGTCCATGGCTCACCATGATGTAGTGTTAATCTCTTTACTATGGCAATGAAGCAACTTCGAGTTCAAGGACTTACTTCTTAGGTCAACAATTTACTTGTCAAACGTTTAAAATAAGAGTATCCAGAGCAATAAGAGTATTTAGTAGATTCTTTGTATTGCAGGACAGTCCTGAGTTTCGGAGTAGGAAAGCAAGCTGTGATCGAACAAGGCTTCGTCTTCAGGAATCAATCTGATGGAATCCTCATCAAAGGTTGCCAAGTCGTCAGTGGCCAATCATACCTTTCGAAGAAACGTACGTAGAGATATCAGTTATGGTTAGAGCTGCAGTGACATTACCCAAAACTCAAATGACTTCTTATTTCAATCAGCCTCCTTTGGGGTGGCAGTACTTCTCCCCGAACTCTCACGGCAAGCGGCAGT